TTTTTGATATTGTGAATAAGAAGATCCGAAGACATACTTGATTGGATTTTTTTCACAAAGGTAGAATCAACAATCAATGTTGATTTCATTACTCAAAAGTGAAAATGCTTTGGTTTCAAGAGAATTATTCTTTGTTGATCAAAAGATGCATCTCCTTCTTTTATTATAAGATAAGAGCATCTAGAAAGGGTGTTTGACAAACCTTATTATTTTTCGAGTCAATATGTGATCTTGAAATCAAATCTTATTAAAGACATGCTCCAACGAGCTTGGCAATAATTCAAAACATGTCCTAACATGAAGTATTCAAGATTCTTGTGGTCCATAAATATAATGATTAGATTGAAAGCGCCTTCTAGAAGATGATGATATTCCTGAAATGAATCCATAATTACAAGAAGCTCTTTGTCGTGGATTTCATAGTTAATCTTAGTTGTTGAAAATTTTCTCGAATAAAAAGCTACTGGGAGAAGTTTATCATCTCTTTCTATTTGTGATAATACATCACCCAAAGCAAAGTTTGATGCATCTGTTTCCATAAAAAATATCTTAAAAAAGTTGATGCAATATAAGATTGGTGTAGAAATGAAATCTGACTTCAAAGCTTCAAAAGATACTTCAGCTTCTCTACTCTACTCAAGTTTGTCTTTGCAAGCTAAACATGTAAGTAGGGTTGTAACTCGAGAAAAGTCTTTGATGAAGATCCAATAATAGTTAGCAAAGTCCAAAAAGCATTAGATATCTCTTACCATTTTTGGAATCTTCCAATCTATAATAGTTTAAATTTTGTTAGGATCTATCACAAGTCCATCATTTAAAATAATATATCCTAAGAAGTTGACTTGAGTAGTGTGGATTATATACTTTTCTATCTTGGCATAGAATTTCACATCTCTTAATTTTTGTAACATATGACAAATATGAAGTTCATATTCATTTGAGTTCTTAAAATAGATCAAAATATCATCTAAATAATAGATAATAAAATCATTCAAAAACTCTCAAAAAACATCATTTATTAAATGTTGAAAAGCTGCCAATATATTTATAAGTCCAAAAGGCATGATATTGTATTTAAAATATCCATACCTAGTTCAAAATGTAGTCTTCTATTCATCTCCTTCTTTAATACGTACTATATTATATGCTTCACATAGATCTATTTTTGTGTAGATCTTAGCTTGATTCAGTTGATTGAGAAGTTCAGACATCAAAGATAGAAGGTATCTATTGTTGATGGTGATCTTGTTGAGTCTTTGATAATCAACACACATTCATAATGATCCATCTTTCTTCTTCACAAATAAGATTGAAGCTCGTGCTAGTGATTTGGAATGGCGTATGAAATTTTTTAGCAAGATTTTCTTCAATATATTCTTTGAATTCAACCAATTCATTTTGTGATAAACTATATATTGGTCCAAATGGTGGTTGTTCTCCTTATTGAAGGTCAATTGAGTAATTATAGGGATGATGTTCTGGAATAGTATCTACATTCTTTTTCTCAAATACATCTTGAAACTCTTGATATTGGCTTGAAATACTACTTAAAGTCTTTGCATCATTAGAAACAAGTGTGGCATAAATGATACAAGGTGATCCTTCTTTTGCAGCATGCAAGAAAGCTCTTGTATCTACAAACATAGCTTTATTTGCACTAGACTTATGACTTTTTATTGGATTAATTTTACTCTTAATTATGCTTTTAGAAAAGTCAAGAGTACGAGAAATCCAATCCATATAAGGATTATACTTTTCTAATCATGATAAACCTAAAAAGACTAGATTAGAGGGAGATCTAATTATATTAAAGATTACACAACTACTATGACCATTTATTCCTATATTTATAGGAAGTCTTTGATGAGTAATATCTCCAAAAGACAATGGACAACCATCTATGATTTCTACATGAACAAATTTAGTTTTTTATACTAACGATATTTTATTACTTTTAACAAATTCTACGTCTAAAAAACAAGCTGAGGCTCTTGAATCTATGAAGACAGAGGCTTTATAATTATTAGGTGCTAAATGCACATCTATTATAAAATAAGGAGAGGATTTTGAAGAGAAGATAGGACCTTTATTAGAAATTATACAAGATTCTAGCTGCATGGTCCTAACTGTAGTTGGACAAATTTGTTTTTTAATACATTGTCTTCTTTGACAATTGTGCTCTTTATTTTGTAGTTTTGGCGCTTCTTTGGATAATATTAAGCAATGTATTTAGATTCTCTACAATATAAGCACAATCCTTTTTGACAACAATAAGTCTTTTTTTGCTCGATAAGAGGTTTAAAATGTACCATATTGATTTATATATCCTCTACTTCTGAATATATGTGTTGAAGAGATGTTGATATTACCATCAAATTGTAATAATGTTGAGGCCCATTTGTGTGATTCTCAGATCAAAATTCAAAAAGTTGATTATTGTACTTTACAACAAATTCAATTGCTTGACTCAATGTTTTAGGATTAGGTAAGTTGTACATCAATTTCTTTACTTCATATTGTAATTCATAGAAAAATTGGCTAATAAGTACAACATCATCCCACTTGATATCAGTTGCAAGTTATCAAAATTGTGAAGCATATAATGTTATAAATCAATTGTCTTATTGCAAAATATGGATCTTGTTGATTGCAACATAAGTTATATCATGTTTTCCATACATGGACCAAAGTCTTGCCAAAAATACCTCCAGATTATTTAATATTGGATCTCAACATTCAAGAAAAGATAAAAACCATAATAGTATTGAACCTGAAAGAAGTGTAACTTGTGATCTTGGAGTTGGATAGCTTTGAGGTTGAAGTTCAATCACAAGTTGTACTTAATCAATAAATCCTCAAAATTTGGATCTTGTACCATCAAACTTTTTGGACATAGTAATTCTTGGTTTTCTAACACTTGAAGGATGTTCTACCATGGGTGGAGGAACATGATTTGGTGCAAATGTTGAGATAGCTCTAATTATCTCTATATCCTCACTTTTTGCCATTTTTATTGATTCTTGTAGTAATAAGCTAAGTTGATGCATTGCAAGCATCAACTCCCTCAATTGCTCTTGCATTTGTGCCATTGCACTCTTCATTTCAACAAGCTCTCTCATAATAATAATCAGAAAAATATGTAATACTACTCAAGATAAGTAAAAGAAAGGACTTGAGGACAAAGAAAATACTAAGAATAATATTAGTTTAGAAGAGGGTAATCTGTAATTTCTAATATGCTTATGTCTTATCATGAAAAAGGGATAATCCACTCTTAATTAAAATAAGACAAAGCTCTAATATTGTAAGTATATTCTTCTCAATTTGTCAAAGACATGAAGTGGAAGATGATGCATAAACCAATAAAATTCGTATCAAAGAAAAAGTGACAAAATAGAAATAAAGAAGTACGTATATTAAAAAAAAATTAGAATGGCTTATTACCAAAAGACAAGAAAACTTGAGACTCTTAAAACTAGATTAAAAGCAAGAAAAGAGTTGACAAGAATGAAAAGGGATTCACTCTTATCTCTATATATATTATCTAACTAGAGGCTATGTGGCGATGTTTTATAGGACCTCCAATATGTGTTGACTTTGTAGGACACATGCCTTGATTTACAAGGCAAGTTTTTTTATTTGTTCGCTACATAGTTAGCTTGGTCTTGAAGCTACCAATATGTATGGCACATGGTTAACTTGTTAACTAATTCTTTAATCTAAATGTCAACAATGGACACCTATAAAGTCAAAGCAATGTCTATGAAGCTTCTAAAAAACTATCTTAGAAGATATTATAGAGTTAACTTAATTTTATCTACTTCTATTTACTTCTACCTATTTATACAGGTAATTACTGACTTACATGTGTATGTCCGTGATAATATCTTATATGAAATGATTGCCAATAAATAAAGATTAAAATTGAGTAATTTTTACAAATATTGGCATCTTTATTATTTGGCACCAATTCTTTCTTATCAAATTGAAAGACCAAAATAAACCTTATAATTATCTTTTAAAAAGTTTAAAATAGTCATATCAATTTATCTATTTGATAGTAACTAACCATTGTATAAAAGTTACATAATTTATCTTAGTAGATTGCAAAAGTCTTAAAAAATGTTGTATGTGACAATTGCCAAAAGAAGGTTGTAAATTTTTCAAACTTAATAAGAAGACACTTTAACTCGTTGAAATCCATCTACTTTTGGGTATATCAAATAACAATAAAAGAGAATAAAAGAAGATATTTGAAAAAGTTGCAATCAAATTAGATATGTCAAAAAATATGAAGATATGATTGATAAAGAATTTATAGGTATGGCAACATTTGCAACAAATTGTTTATATTGGATTTCAGTATTTGCTTATATATCAATTATAAGGTAGGTCATTGCCAATTGGTGACTCATTGCATGAGCCACTATTAATGCAATTTAGAGTAAGTCATCAATTAAAAAAAGAGCAATATTATCAAAAAAAAAAGTGTGGCTATAACAATATTAGATGTGGCCTCAATTGCTGCCTAAAAACAAAAATAATAACAATAAAACCTTTATAAATTAAAAATTTGTACTTAAAATATAATAAAAAATCAATACAAAAAGCATGAGTATGGAGAATTTTTGTGTCATTCAAATCATTTGTATCGCTTTTCAAAAATATAGGAGAAGAAGTGAACTTCTTTCTATAAGTGTGTTTATATATTAACAAAAAATCATTGTTTGATCTAGGAAAAGCAAACAACCTACTCATAGCATAACAAAAGATGATTCTTATGAAAGCAATATTTTATCTTCTAGTTTCCATCCATCCTTGATAAGTGTTTCTTTTCCGTTCCACGAAGGGAGTTGAAAAGAGGCGAGAGCAGTGAGGGTGGAGGAGAAAGAGAGAGAGCAAGAGGAAGGGGGAGATAGTAGCAACACTTGGACTGACCCAAAAGAGAAATCACAAGGAAGAAAGGTTGAAAGGAAGGAAGAGTGAGTTACCAAGTGAGAGACTTACAGGCTAAGTTACTGAGTGAGGAATCGAGTGAGGAAGTGGGTGACTGAGAGAGGGGCTTGGCTCCGCTGTGCTCTCCTCACCTCCTCTGCAGTGCTGTGCTTTGCTGTGCGCTCCTCTTCTTCCCTTTCCTCCCTCTTCACCCCCCTCCTGCTCCTCCTCCTCCTACTACTCTTCAGCCTCGCCGCTTCCCCGCTCATTGTCTCGCCCACCATCCCCCATGCCAGCGCTTCCTCTGTTGCTTCGCCCCCGCGTTTCCTCCACTTTTGTAAGTCTTCCTCTCGCCTCTTCTTTAGGTTTTGTTCTCCACTAAACCCCACTCTTCCTTTTTGGGTTCTTCTGCTGGTTTTTCCCCTCTATTTCTGTGCTTTCTGCGGACTTTCTCATGTCACTGCTCTTCTTGACCATACCCTCTCTTCGTTCCTTCTTTTTCTCCCAGCTCGTTTCCTTTCCTCGTTTGTTTGTTTGTTTTTGTTTTTGTTTTTTTTGTTTTGTTTTGTTTTGTTTTGTTTTTTTTTTTTGTCTTTCTTCTGCTGGATGCTCCTGGTTTTTGTTCCTGTCTTGCGGCGACTTACGCCTGTTCTCGAATGAATGTGTAGGATAGTGTCGGTGTATGTCAAGCTCATCTAGTTGTTGCATGAATGGGAATCCCGTTCTTTTGAGGCTCTGCAGCCGGAAGCAAAGGTTGTGTATTTCGGATTCTAAAGAATGGAAGGTATGAAAGAATCCGGAATGTGTGACAGTGAGAATGTTACTTTTGCTCGCTTCCCTTGCTGCATGTGCTCGCTGTCCGTGAGCATTTTCATACCACAATTCCTCGCGCTTGGACGTCATTCTTCCCCCAAAACTGGTCGGGTGCGCATTCCTTGAGAATTTCTTATTTGCAATCACCCTCGTGCATCTCCAAATTAATTGACCTGCCATATTGCGTCGTTTGGGATTTGATTACATTGGTTGGATGCCTTGAGAGTGTTGACAGTTGGAAACAGTTGTCAGAAGGACTGCAACAAAGCAAGAGCAATGTCCCATTACTCATTTATCACTATCAATGCATTACTGTATGCTGAGATTTTCTGGTGTTTGGTGCAACCTCTAGATTGAGATTCATGGTTATCTTGCATAATAATTTCTCAATAGATTACTTATGCTCTACCTTTTAAATTATGTGGAAGACTTCGTATCAGTAGCAGGAGCAAGGAAAGCTACTTTTCTCATCTTTGTGGATTTCCCCTCTATTATTTTGTAGGAGTGATTCCTGAACATGATTGAACGTGTTACTGATAGAAATGATCTGTTTCCTGTCTTGGGTTTATTGAGTTCAGCTGGACAAAGTTCTTCAAATCTCTAACACCCAGCAATAAGTTTTCACTTATAGCAAAGTGCTCGTTCTTATAAAGGAGTACCCTAATCTTATCATAATTTGTAGCACCCACGGATTTTTTTGCGTTTGGCCTTGCAGGTGCAGCTGACATACTAACCTACTTTAAGTGCTGAAGCTGTTCATCATTAGTAGTTGTGGTGGTGGAGCAACATTGCTCTGTATGCATACTTGACTGTGTGTATTAGAGGGGAATGGGTGACGACCTTGATTGAATATTGAGTGAGTTCCACAATTTGAGGAGGTGAAGGAGTTACACATTTCACAATGCCTCCCAAGCGTAAAGCTCCAGCTGCAGCGACCAAGGAAGTTAACGATGACGCTCCTGCTGTAAAGAAGCGAGGTCGCGCCAAAGCTGTTGCCCTCCCTCCTCCGTCAAGGTCTGATCATGAAGCCGCTGACCCTCCTGTACCTCAGAGGAAGTCGGAGAGGAAGCCAAAGGAGATTGTTAAGGAAGTAATAGACAAACCTGCATCTAAAACGAAACCTCCACCAAAGGAGAAGGTGGTGCCCAAGGACAAACCTGCAGTCAAAGCTAAATCGGTACCTGAGGAGAAACCTGCTCCCAAAGCCAAAGCAGCCCCCAAAGCAAAACCCACAGCAAAGAAGAAAGCAGCACCTAGGAAGACGTCTAAGAAGGCTAATGAAGTGGAGGATGAAGACGAGGGTCAAGAGGAGGAGGAGGAGGAGGAGGTTGTAGCCCTTAAGTCTAAAGCTCCCGCGAAGAGGAAGGCTCCAACAGCGAGGGGAGCTAAGAAGGAAGCTGAGGTGGAGGAAAGTGGGGACGAGGGTCAAAAGGAGGAAGTTGCAGCTCCCAAATCAAAATCCCCAGCAAAGCGAAAGGCTCCAGCACCAAGGAGTGGTAAGAAGGCCAAAGAAGAGGAAGAAGAAGAAGGAGAAGAAGATGATGGTGAGGACCAAGACGACGATGTCGTAGACGCAAAAGCGAAATCTCCAGCTAAGAGAAAGGCTCCAGTAGGAAAGAAAAAGGTTGCATCGGTGAGGGAAGCTAAGAAAGCGGTAGGACCGAAGGCGAAAGAAGAGAAAATAGAAGATGAGGGTGAAGCTGAGGATGAAGAGGAAGCAGTAGCTCCCAAAGTGGAAACTCTTGCGAAGAGAAAGGCATCCTCAGTCAAACCTGGTAAGAAGACAAAAGAAAAAAAAGAAACTGAAGAAATGGGCAGCGGAGTGAAACCTCCGGGTAAGGGAAAGGCTACACCGCCAAGGGCAGCAAAGAAGGCAAAAAATGAGGAAAATAACTCCGAGAAATCGGAGAGCGCGGACGAGGATGGAGAGGAGGGAACGAAGAAAATTCTGGAATCCGATGTTAAATCTGTAGAAGATGCAGTTGGAGTGAAGAAGTCTGTGATAATTGAGCACTGGTACGTTAAAATCTGATTCTTATTGCACGTTGTAGGCTCTCTTGCCAACAGTGCAAGTTGGGATCTCAGTGAGAGGAGATGTTAAGTTTTAGGACCTGGATTCACCTTTATCTCACATACGTGGTATAAGTAAGGCAATTTTGAGGACCCACAGATTGAAGGTATTCCTAGCTTTATTACCCTGTAACTAAATATTACCATGATCTGATGGAGAGGGTCTGGTAAGGTTATATTTTGAGCCGGCTTGTTGTAGTACTTTTCCTGATTGTATTCACTTATTTGTGTTGTTTGTTTGCATCGTTGCTGTTTGATAGTAAACAATGTAATGCCTTCAAGATACGTGCACTGAAAGTTCAAGAGTCTCTTAAGGCAGCAATCCCAGGCCTCGAAGTTTCAATCAATCCAGAAAAGGTGAGATTCTGTACACTGAACTGTAGGAAAAGGAATTCTCATGTGAAGATTACATAAAGGATCTGCGTATTCCATTTGAACCTTCAAAAGAAACAAGATTCTGTGACCTACGGGTCTGTAAGTACGATAACTACATTAATCTTGATTAGAATACCCAGGGATGTTGTTTTCGTTTTTATGTTTTTCTGTAGCATGGGATGCACTTTCCAGTTAAAGCGTAGCCTTCTTGGTTTTGATGGATCTGTTTGTTCTGTGTGGTTGGTAACACCGGCATCTCATTCGTCTTGTTAGGTGATAGTTGGTTGCTCTTCTTGACGTTCGCTGAAATTTGTGTTTGCAGCCTAGGAGAGGCTGTTTTGAAATTAGGGACAGTGCTGGAACTATCTTCATTTCGCTGCAGGTACTGCTGACATGTCATGCTTTTTTTGTTTGCTTTGTCAGGCCTTGCTTCTATGACTGTCTCCTTTAAGTACTTTTATGATGCAGGAGTCTAAATCTGGTCTTGTTGCAATGAAAAGGAATATCTACGAACTCGTGTCTTTTCTCATGTCGAAATAGTTATGTTATGTATGTACACCTTTGATTAAGCGTATTTGTTGATTGTATATGCAGGGTATGCCCAGACCATTCACAAAGCTGAAAGCTCTTGACCTCGACAAGACAGCTGCAGATATTGTGAAAAAGTTGACGTAGACATTTAGCACAGTATTGTGCTTTGATACAAACTAGGCACCTTGCTTGCAAGCTAGATTTGAGTAATCAATTTTGGATATTTTGGAACTTGAAGTGCAGCCATTCACAAATCTTTCGCACATTTCCAAGCTTTAGGTCAAATTTTAATTATGATTATTCACAGAAAATCAACACAACCAGTCTACTTGCACTCTTATTTGGTTGTAGTGCTACTCGTACAATTGATTGCTTTTCGAGGAGCTATAATTAGATTCTCTTCGCGATCCTCAAATCGGCCATCGAAAACGCGAAGTGTTACACGAATGCAGAGCGCTAGTCGATGGATATATCCGAACCATAGAATGGACGGGTAGCAGTGGATTGGTCGCATTGACACAAACAAGTTACGAAAGAGTTTCCCGTATGCTTGGCCGAAGTCCCACGGTCAGCAGGACATCGGGATACTTCATATCGTCTTTGGGAGAAGAGAAACCCAGTCCATGCTCTGGTCTGATACATTAAATTACACTAAAGAAACGTATTGTTGCATCGTGCGCTACATACTTTCACTTGGATCTAGTTCAGTTTGAAGTACGTACAAGTATTACGCACAATTCTCGTAACTAATCACTGCTGAAAAGCTCGTCCTTGCGTACAATTCAGGCGACTGTAGCTACAGCAATTTCGTGAGAGATCTGGAGAGGTTCGATAAAGCGCGGTTGAGACCAAATTTCAGGGATAGACTCCTTCAGATTGTGAATGCTCACAAAGATATGATCAGTTCCATTACACTTGACAAGGCTGCCCACCAACACCGTCTGCAATTCAACCGTTTACCACCCAAGATGTTTCTGGCACTGTCATCGAAGAAGAGGGTTTTTGAGGGATCCAATTGCATCAGCTGGATGGCCTCCTGAAAGCATGCTATCGCTGGTTTGCATACAATCAGAACACTAGTGTCGAGTTTTACGTCGACGTCGTCATCCGCATCTTGGCAAACTTGTCTGTCCTTAGATATGGCGCTGTGACAGTTGAAGCTCTCGAAGCAGAGGAAGCCTTCAAATATATCCTCCAACCCCAGCAGGTTTAACACCTTGTCCGCGTGGATTTTATCAGCATTTGTGAAGATGAACTTTCATTGAGGCATGCTTCGGAGAAGCTCACGGAGGACAGGGTAGGGGTGGAGATTGTGCCAGGGAAGGCGCCCGTGCACATACTCATGATAATCGTCGTGGTCGAAATAGTAGCCTTCAGCCCAAAGTCCTGCCATGGTAGTGCCATAGTTCCTGTAAAGAGCACCGCACAAGGCGGTTACGATGGCTGGCGCGATGCACAGTTTCTTCACCATGTAAGCTTCAATGTTCAATCGACAAGCCTCAGCTAGGCCGCTGCTGATGGGGTACTATGTGTCATCCAGATCGAAAATGAGCGTTTCATAGATCGGTGCTAGCTCCTCCTCGAATCCCACTAAGTCAGTGAATTCCATCGCCACACTTCACAACAACGTCGAAGTGAACCACAATCTCACGCCCAAACACCAGGTGGTCCTCACAAATACTCGTCTGAAGAATTTTCAGCGGTAAACTAAGAACTTGGTGAAGACACGCATGGATGTGAAAGGAAGCAGCTTTTATTTATAATCCTCCACCTTGAGACTGCAGCTGAGAGTTTGGGTGCAGACTCCCGCCGTCTAGTTCGTCTAGAGTACATGAGATTCGGTTATACTTAGCCTGGATAGCCTAAAGGGCATCCCGGTAAATATCGCAGTTTTGTAGGTGAAATAATGCAGTTTCCAGAAAAATTTCGGGGCGTCCTTGCATCGTTACTTGGATCGACGGGGTGCATTGAGGGACTAGTAACCCACCACCAAACCTTGTTACACATTCTTATCTTTCAGAAGTAAGTATTTATTGGGGTAGTTTGGCAATACCACTCTTATAACTATTGTACAAAGAATTGTGTCATATCTTATTATTATTCAAAAAAAAAATTGCCAAATAACTGGTATTCCAAGGTACTGGGGAAGCAATGGGTTAAACAGAAACCTTTCTTTGATTAATAGTTTTGAATTTTATATTCTTTTTATTAGCTGCATGGGTTAAAATAGTTGTTTGAGACCAACTTCTACAATCTTGAGATTAGCATATTAAACTTGGGCGTTGACAAAGAAATTTCAAATATTCAAATTTCAATTTTGAAAATTTTATTTTGACAAAGTCTACTACCTTCTTCTATTTTAGTCTTTTACTTATTTTTTCATCATCTCTTGTCTTTGTTTTTCCTTTGTTATGGGCCTCTTGGAGTTCTTCCCATTAGATCATAGATTTTGAGCTCCCAAATTAAACAAATAAGCTCACACAAAACAACTCAAGTTACAACAAGATCTGTAAACTAATTCAAACTCAACGAACAAATTACCGCACAAAATCAATTCTAATAGTTGAAACTTTTGTCTACTACCTATTAATCCCACAAAGTTTTAGTATCTTTTCAATATTCTTCTAGTATGTTCGATGTTGCAAGCGTTGCATCGGGTGTTTCCTTTGTGGGGACACCTGCATATTGCTAATCCACAAATGAAATACCCGATTGGATGAGAACCCCAAAGGCTTTGATGTCAACTTTACTTGGGTACTGGCCCTATATAGTTAACAACTTGCTGTGGGAGTGGTGGAAAGCTTCCAAGCACTTCAAGTTGCACGAAAACTTGTGGCACAATGGGTGTTGCAGCGAGGAACAGTCGCCGGGTGGCATGGATCGCGTGACGATCGAACAAGCGCACAGCCCCACAAACAGTCCAGGCTCCACTGCTGCAATTCTGCATATGAAACTAGATTGCCCGATCTACAAACAGAAACGAGTGGAGTGAGGTAAGAGACGCACACACAATGCACATGGTTTAACAAACAAAAACAACAATAGTTGTCCGTCGGAAGAACCGCCTTAGAAAACGTGCTGTCGACAGCACATCCACATGAACAGAGGTTACCATGGCGATTTACCTAATCTTACTGCTCGTATAACCAGAAAAACTTTCTGCCATAAGGTACAGCATAGCACAACAACCTATCAGCTTAAAAGTATATCATATCTGCTTGATGAAAGGATATGGGCTACCAAAAAAAAAAAAAAAAAAAAAAATTACTATCTGATATTTTGCCGTGGCTATATTCAAATCTCTCGGAAACCAGTTTTCTGGAATCTGAAAATCTAGATTTTTTTTTTTTTTTTTCATTCTTTTATTAAATTATTTTTTAAAATTATGCATAATTTTCACCAATCTAATTCACGCTGTAATGCTAATATCTACGTATAGTTTGCAAGGTAACAAAGTGTTGTCTGATGTTGGTGGTACAGAGACCAAAAGATATCAAAATCAAAACAGTTGAAAAAGATTTTGTTGAAGCAATTAATTATTACAATATTCAATATCGGTAAAGCCATGCCATAGGAAATTTGGAATCTTAAAAACTTATGTAATGTTTTGGGCCTATTAATACTAAAACATTTTGACTTAAAGATAGATATCAATAAAGTTATTATTAAATAATCAAAAAATAAAATCTATCAAACTTCAATTTAATGTCTACCTTTTATATTACTAAAATGGTTTTATATCAAGAACTGTTATAAAAATTTGCTTTAAGATTTATTGTATACTGTATTCTAGTCCAAAATATTCTAAAAAAATCAAAAAAATTAAATACAAGTTAATATAGAAGAACCATACAAAGCATTAAGATGGTTGTTGTTGAACTTAATATAAATATATTTATTGAAAGAATGTAAAATATCTAAATAATCTAAAAATATAAATCTAAATTTCTATTATAAATATTGAATTTTAAAAATATCCTTTAGAAAAAAAAATATATTTTTAATTTTTACATATATAATATAATAAACCTAAGTATAGTAATTAAGTTTAATTGTAGTACCACTAATAATTATATTATTTCTTTTGAATATTTAATAACATATCTTTATCTACCAAATAATACACCTAATTAAAATCTTACTTAAATTTTTTCAAATGTTTAAAAAAACCTTGAAAAAAATAATTAAATAAAATGACACTAATATGTATATTAATGTTTTAGAATAATCTAAAATAAACCTTTATTTTTATTTTTAAAATATGAATAAATTAAATTAAATTCTTCAAAAAAAAACCAAAATGGTGATTTTTACAAAATTACTATTTTTCTCACCTTGAAAATTGTAGGATATTCTTTTTATGTTTCTACATAAGATCTATCTATATACTTTCATTAACTCTTAATAAAGATCATTTTTTTTCCTCTAAAAGTTGTAGCCTTGATGTAAGTTCTTTAGAATTGAAATCAACATTAAATCAAGGACAATTATTTAGCTATTAAATTCAAAATCCAACTTGATCAATTTTTTTCTTTAATCTATTCTTTTTATATTTTTATGTCTTTGTCAATGTTGAAGTAGTCCATTGATTTTGTTTACTTCAAAGTAGAACATAACTTTTACTTAATAAACCTTGTCTTATCACCATCAATCTTATCTTGTCACTATTGGTCTTGTCTTCCAAACTCTTTCTTTTTTATGTTGAAAAACCTGAAGATCTTCATAAAACCTTTTTTGTAATACTTATGATATGTTAATAGATCAAAGAAGTATAATAAAATGACATAATAGAATGTCAATTAAAAATTCTTTATTATGATAATTATAATATGAATTTATAGCTATTTATAGCTATCTTAGAATGAGTTTTATTTAATACTATTGGAATTTAGTAAAACTAAACTACTTTATTTCTAACAACCTTAAATACCTAAGGTAGTTTTAACCACCTTATATTTTTTATACATAGGTAGCTAACTACCTTGCCTTTTTATACTAACTTCTCTTTTTTTAAACCTATTTATATTAACTTTCTTTTAAATTCTTTTTATACCAAGTCTTTTCTTTTTATTTTGACTTCTTTTTGAATCAAGGTTTTTTTTTTTTTTTTTTTTTTTTTTTTTTCCTAAGTCTTTTCTTCTTCCTTAAATCTTTTTTACATCAAGTTTCTTTATTATTTGTTTTAAAAAATTATTTCTAAATTATATCTTATAAATAGTATAAAATTTATTATTTTATCTTTTAAATTAGATTAAATAGTTTAAGAATTAAAGGTATTTTAAGGATAATCCTAAGTTTAATAATTATCAATTCTTTTCTT